TGCCTTTTAAATTTCAAAAAATGCCGACGTTTCGACTTTTTTTGAAGTCTTCTTTAAGGCTGAAAATAAAAAGAAAAAAAAAGTTATTTCCCCTATGGAGAGACTAGACAATTATTAATTAATTCAATCTTGCTCATTGATTTAAAGTTATTTGAAACATAAAAATACATTGACCATACTCCAATAACAGTTTTTCTTGGTACATAAATGTGTAAACAATGATTAGATATACAAGAGTAAAAATACATAATAGTGATAAAACATATAAATTATTAAAAACATAATTGAAAAAAAAAAATTAAAAGATATTGAATTATACACTACACACAAGCGAAACAAAAACAAACACCAATGGAACAAAGTATTACTAAACATACAAATACATAAATGTGAGGCAACATACCTATTTTTAATTATTTTCGAAAATGGTCAAAGAGAGTAAAAGCACCAAGCACATAATATAGAACTTTTGAGCAGTTCAGCTAGAGAAAATGAAAATCTGGTTTTTCTCAACATTTGATATACGTCACGAAACACAAGTGGCAACTAAAAACCAATAATCTTGCCGGCTGACCCGATACGTTCACCCAGCTATGGAATTTATAGTTCTTGAAAAAAAATTGAACAATATACAAACGAAGGATTTTAAACTAATTTTGTTGTTGTTGTTGTTATTGTTGTTGTTTTTTGGTCCTGTAATGGTTTGATATAATATGTATATACTGGGCACTAAGATTTTGAGTGTCCTAAAGTTTACTGTATCATTAATTGATATATAAATCATTTCATTGAGATTTCGTTTAAAATAATTAGATTCTGAACATAAAATTCTGACATTATCAAAAGCAAAAACATGCCCCTGGTCAAAATGATGTGTTGCCAAAGCCGTTTTTTTCCGCCTTTCGTCTATTACGCTCCTTGCAGTCATATTTATGCTGATATACACGATCCTTCAGATATTAGCTGCTTTTTTTCTAACACCTATCTTAGCTAACCTAAGTTGTTCTAAAATAAAGGGCCGTTTTTTCTAAAATCATAGGTAAGTTTATGTTAGTCGAAATTACCTCCCCCCTTGCCTACGCCAAGGATGCCAGATTCCATTCTCAGTTCAATTTCTCACCTGAGGTTATGTTTATTTAGGGTTAGATCCTTCGTCCATCTAATGTGAACTACAACTTAGCTCAGCTAAAATTTTCAAAGTTAGCTAAGATAAGACAGTGTGCAGAAAAAAAGCAGCTATTGCCTCATAGTTCCCACATACCAATTTGCGCAATTTGTGCAAGGAATTTTATAGACCAAATAAGAGCATAATCCAGAAGGGTTCTTATCTTCTAATTTCGTGTATAGGCTTTTGAAAGTAAGTTTGTTATAAAATGCCAGTTTGCTATTCGGATTTTTATCACAAGGTTTTTAGAATTTTTCCGTGAAATTTTTAAGCATGGGAACCTGAAAGACGATAACTCCCCCACGGTGTTCGCGCGAGGTGGTCTATGATTGCATTAATTGATGGCCCTGTTAAAGAAAGTGTGTGGATAATTATTGTCCCTTAGAATATTCCTTATTTTTAACTCTTTAGTCCTCATAAACTCAGGGCTACTAAGATTAAAGGCACGAAATAATAGATTCTTAATTGTGTTGATTTTTTGAGTGATTGTATAAGATAGGTAATTCAAAATCCTACCAGATGCGTTGGGCTTAACAAACCACAAACCAATTGGTTTTCAAAAACCCATCAGGACACCTGATGACCATCTATCAAGGAATGGCAAATTACCTTCATTTTCCACCTCCATAGTGAACTGTAATTTAGGGTGGAAACCATTAAACATAGAAATAAGTTCGTCTATTTTATCACCTATACATGCAAGGATCGTGTCATCAACATATAATTTAATAAATGCAAACTGAAACGGCAACTTCTTTAAACTAGACGAAATGAGTTCATTCATAACGAGATTAGCCAAAACTGGAGTAGCGGGATTTCCCATAGCTGAGCCATCAAGCTGTTGGTAAGTTTCACCATTAAATGTAAAATAGCTGGAGACAAATAAAAATTTTATCATCTCGTAAAAAAGTGAGCGAGAGATGGAAGTGTAAGAACTAATAAAACGCCACTGCTCATCAATAATACGACACACAAAGCTCTTGGGTATATTTGTAAACAATGACACCACATCCAATGAAACAAGCACATAATTTTCAGGATAAGTCTAACAGTCTTTGTGAATTCCGCGAAATCGAACGAGTTTTTTACGTTTAGACGAAACTTCGATGTAATCTGATCAATAATCCGATGGATATAACTGGCCAAATTATAGGAAGGAGAATTAATGCAATTTACTACAGGTCACAAACTAAGATTCGGCTTATGAGATTTCCTCAGGCAGTATAGCTTTGGAGTCACGCTATTATACCTTTTAAGTTTTTTTGAAGTTATTTCGTCAATACAGCTTTCATTGGATAATCTAGTAATAATATTATTAGCTCGTGTTTGAAATTTGGTAGTGGGGTCTGACTTAAGTTTTTTATAGGTAGCAGGGTCATCAAGCAACCTATTCGTACCGCAAATGTATTCTTGTTTTGTCATGAGCACTTTTGAATTGCCCTTATCAATATTTTTTGAAATTCAAAACGGACTATGAATTTTTTTTTCCTAAACCCACAACACTTCCTACTTCATTCAACTGTTGAGGGGCAAACCTTCTACAATAATTTAAATTATTACCTACCAAATTTAGATTAATTACTTTTCAAAAATAGGCCTTTGAAATGTATATTAGCCCTGTTTAAAAAAAAAATCTGTTCTGAAATGAAAATGAAATGAAATGAAATGAAAAATATTTTTATTTAGCACTTGGCTACTTATAACTAAATCCAAAAATTACATCAAAAGAAAAATTAACATTGATTGCGCAAATACGTAAACAGTCTCCTATTAAAGATATATACATTTGGTGAATCTTTCACAGCATCAGGCATTTCATTAAAAAAGCGAAGCCCTTCATAAAACAGTGTTTTTTGCAATGCTGAAGTTCGCACGATGCCAAGATTGTAGTTTTGTTTGGATCTTATATTGTGATTATGAAATTGCAATCGTTTTTTTAAGTAGGCATTCAAATACTCCGGCATTAGGCTATGTTCAATTTTATAAATTAGAACAAGGTTCGCCTTTCTAATGTTCTGCTCAACATTCAACCAATTTAGAGTTTCCAACATGTATTCTATCGGTGTATACTTACTACAGTTTAATAAAATACGCATAATTTTGTTCTGCTGTAGTTGCAATTTTCGCACCTCTTCTTTGTTACAAGAAATTAGTACTGAGCTGCAATATGCAAAGTGAGGTAGAATTATAGTCTTGTAAATCAACATTTTTGCCCATTCAGAAACACAATAAGATATTCTACTGAAAAAACGTATTTTTTTACCTAATTTTTTACAAACATAATCAACATGAATTGAAAAATTCAACTGCGGATCCAAAATGACACCCAAATATTTAATTTCGTTTACAAACTCTATGGTTACATCATTTATGAAACCTAAATTATGAAATTTTTTACAATTTACAGCTGAGCCCACCACCATACATTTTGTTTTTGAGGAGTTCAATTTTAATTTATTTTGACATAACCACTCATACAATACAGTTAGCTCACTATTTAATATATTTACAACTTCTAGGTAATTCTTTCCAGACACTGATATGAGGGTATCGTCAGCAAATAAATTAACAAAACAGTTTTTCAAAGCCCTATGGAGATCATTAATATATATAATAAATAAAAGTGGTCCCAAGACACTTCCCTGGGGTACACCCAGCACACTTTCCTTTTTTTGAGATACCCTATTAGCTATTTTTGTTTTATGAAACCTGTCTTTTAAATAGTTATCAATCCAACTTAAAGCACATTTATCCACACCATAATATTCCAGTTTTTTAAGAAGAATTTGTCGATCAATTGTCTCGAAAGCACGCTGAAGATCCACAAAAACAGCAATCACTAATTCACCATTGTTTATTTTTTCTCGCCATTTTGCACATACATACTGAATCGCTGACTCACAGGAATGTTGACTTCTAAATCCAGACTGACCCGTGAATAGCAAGTGATTTTTCTCGAAGTACTCCCTCAGTTGATTGCAGACGATGGTTTCGATTATCTTATCTACAGCTGGTAAAAGATTTATAGGCCTAAATTCTGAAGGAACCTTTGGTTTATTCACTTTTGGGATAGGTGTTATTACACTTGTTTTCAGGTCATGTGGTATTTTTCCGGTGGTGATTGAGGCATTAATTAAGTACAAAAGAGGATATCCAATTACACATAATAATTGTTTTATCAGTTTAATATTCAAACTATCATCGCTCGACCCTTTATTTTTCAAGCTAAAAATAGCTTTTTTTAATTGAGATAAATTTATGGTCTGAAAATTTGAAAAGTTTGTCTTCACATTAAAATTTACGTCTTCCCACTCTTTATACTCTATACTCTCTGAAATTACATGCAAAGAGTCTGAAAAGAAATTATTGAAGTTTTCTTCCACAGAGCTATTATAATGGTCAAAATTCATATCTGTGAAATCAGTAGATTGTTTCCCTGTCCCAACTAAGTCCTTCAGAGCTCTCCACATCCTTTTGCTGTCGCCTTTACAGTTATCAATATGTTGTTCATAATATCGTGTTTTGTTCTTCCTCATCGTGGATACAACTTCATTTCTACATCTCTTGTAGCATTCCCAGTCTGTGTTTAGTTTTGTGATACAAAATTTTTGGTAGGCTCTATCTCTTTTTTGTTGCAGCTGTTTAATATCCTGTGTTATCCAAGAACATTTTTTTGGATTAATTTTATTTTATTTTATTTCTACTTCAATTACCTACTGCTTTAGAATGATCCATGAGTTACGGTGCGATCTAAGCAAATTTCTACGACTTGATGATTTATTTTAGGCTTTAAAGCTTGGTATTGCTCCTGTGAAAATAATATTATTTTTTTCAGGACGTGGCTAGAATCAAACCCAGAAATCCTCGAAAAATGGCTGCGAGAACACGCTTCCGTCGACCTTCGTCAGAGAACTCTGCAAGCTGTCACCACCTCGACAGTTACCACAATCACCGCAATGCCAGTATCATGCTACAACTCCAATTCCACTAACAGCCAAGTCCTGTGCTGGTATCCTTCTTCTAGTAGCAACAGCAACGAGTGCAATCTTCAAAATGTCCGTCCACGCCGTGACTATGCGTCAATGGTCGAGTCCGATCTTTTTATGGAACTAATTCGCGATATTGCCAATGAACTTAACATCGATGTGCTCTGTCATAAGATTTTGAAGAATGTCTCGCTACTAACGAATGCTGACAGAGGGTCCTTGTTTTTGGCAAAAGGACCGCCGGAATGTCGATATTTAGTGTCGAAGTTTTTTGACGTTAGGCACGATACGAGTTACGATGAAGCGGTTAAACTGGCAAGATTAGAAGAAACTCGGATTGCATTTGGGGTTGGAATTGCTGGAACGGTGGCTCAAAATAAGATTATGATTAATATTAAAGATGCTTACAAGGTAAGTTATAACTTATTACTAAACATATACCTAATACCTATCATTTCACATGTTATGTCCAATTACCTACCTTTTCATTACATTTAAAAAGACAAGCAGGTGGTAAGAAATAAATATGCATTTGTAAAGATTGAAAGGGGTGTTATCCTGCAAAAGTGAAGTCAAATTTGAAAAATAGGATAAAATGAAATTATCCATCACTCGACCCACTGCCTCATTTAAAAATGGGGTGGTTAGGGGGTTGAAGAGGCGAAGTCCAGTTTTACTTAAAAAGCGTTCCCTTCAATACATTTGTTGAAGTTTTGAAAGCCCTGTATATGTATATTGGGGAGACCAAATTTCACTTCAAAAATCTCTTCCCAAGTCACCACTATTTGCAGGACTTGCTGATAAAATTTGTAAGAGAGTTATTTGATTCTTTTTACATAGAAATAAAGCTTCTGTTAGGCCATGTCTTCCCTCGTCCTGTCATGACCATATATACTGTGGCCTGTGGGCCGTTGGAAAAGAAATATGTTTTACTCAAATTAGTAATGGGGAAATGCAATTTTTTTTTCCTGTGCAGCAAATTAATGTACCACTCTATTGAAACAATTCATCCACTTAAAGATCGGATTGAGGAATGTTGGACAGAATGCAGGTGCAATTTGTCAAACGCTGCAAGCAGTTTTTGATAATCGCGACAGACATATTCACAGATAATTGTAGTATGCATTCTTTCTAAAGTTAGTTGTATCAATTCCTATTCGCTATTTGCGTCTATTTCTATTCTTGCAATTCAATTTTCGATGCAAAACAGCTTTATTGAATAATGCGATCTTATTATCAAAGTATAGGTACTTATCCAATATTAAATTCTTAATACTAAAACACACTACAAATAACATTAAATTTTTAATAAAATTAAATATATAAAATTTCATGTGAGTAATAAACTTAAAAGAATCTATTACCACGTTTATGCTTCCCGTTAAACCGTTTTAATGGAAAACGTTTTATTGTAAAACGCTTGTATAAACAGCCCATAAAGCGTTTTATCTCGTTGAACCATTTTGATTTAAAAAGTTTTAAAAACGTGCTTTGACCAATTTGAAAACGGTTTAAATACTGCGTAAACATCTCAAACCGTTTCAAGAGAGTGCCAGCACTGCTTGTTATGACATTTAAAAACAGTTTTGAGGAAAGCCTCATAGAAGTATAAACACAGGATAAAAAGTTTTAAGTTCGAAAACGTTTTAGGGGTTAAAACGGTTTAACGGAAACATAAACTTGGTAACTGAAAGTCAAGCCTTAAAAACAGGTAATATTAAATTGAGTTAGAGATAACTGTAAACATACTTACACAAATAAATTTAAGACAGAGTATAACTGAATATAAATATTAATTTGAGGAGTTATCGAAAAATGCTGCGACTGAATAGGCTATCCCAACCAATAAATTATTTACTTCAATTCTAAAATGCTTCCTACTTTGAACATCTCCTACATTCAAAAGCCGATGAAAAGCTTTTCACTATTATAAATCATGGATTTTTGTGTTACGATCGAAGCAAAAATGGGAAGCGAAGCCATTAGAGATGAACGAGTGTCTGAAACCTCAGCAGTTGCAATATCATCTTTACATTTACTGGGTATTAGGCAAACAGTATCAGCAATAAATATATATGCCCAAGTTAAAATTCTTTGTGAACCAAACAAAGGTCTGCATGATTGCCTGGGACCTACTTTGCACATTTGCACAACTTATGGCGCGTTTTTGTAGAACAAAAGCCATATTGAAAAGTTGATCTCAAACCCCCAGAACTCCATAGCGTAGATGAGAATCAATTAAATGCAAAATACAGTTTCCTTTCAGTGCACAGCAACCTCTAGAAAGTGTTTTATATGTTAAAAACGTAAGTTTCAAAGTTTAACTTCTCATCTATGGCATCATCCTCATAGGCGATCACTCAATAGCGAGTATGATTATCTTCTATTCTATTCTTATTGTCGTCAATTGTTGGCTATATAAACCAATTCTGGAGCCGCACACTCTTCCACAGTCTTGGCACACCCAGTCTCTGGCAGCATTGTCTCGTCCTCTGTTCTTTCGTTCCTTCCTACGGTCCCTCTTTTCGGTCTCGTGTCTGCGTTGCTGTTTTTCGTGAACTACTCGACGCCATTAGGGCCTATCATTTGCCGTCGTCTCCCAGTTGCTTGCATCGATGCGGCCGGCACTGTGCCATATTTTCCTTTATAGCGTTTTTGTTGTCCTTGATTTCGTATTCCCTCTTTCAGTTGACTGTAGAGAATCGTGGAAAACGTGTTCCGGGCATACGGACGAGGTGACCTGTCCAGCGAAATTTGTGCTTAATGATGAGGGTTTTCATGCAAGTTATTTTGGGGTCCTCTAAAACACTAATATTCGTTCGTCATTCTTGCCATTTAATCCGTAGGATCCATCTTAAGCATCGCTGGTGGTATATATCTAGGCTTTTTATGTGTCTTTTGTAGGTGGTCCATGTTTCGCAGCCATATGTAAGTGTTGGTATTACAACTGCATTGTAGACGCGAAATTCGGTTTCAGCGCTGATGTCGTGCATGATTGTTGAAGATATCTCTAGAAGTCGCCCGAGCGCTAGCACACAGCTCACTTCAGCGTCAATGGTTGCATTCCCTGACAGAATGGCTGCCAAGGTATGGTTAGTGTTCTGTGTTCTACGTTTTCTGCAAAAAATGGTCATTTATATTTGGGTCTTGGGGATTAGTATACGGTGCGGGTTGGTGCAGAATCTGCGTCTTGTGAAAGTTAACCACTGGGCCGATTCTACTGTATGCGTGGTTGAATGCATTGATGATTGCCTGAAGATCTTCCCCTCTATTGGCCATCACGACCTTCTCATCCGCATACTGAAGTTTAATTATCGATGTCGTCGATCGTCGATAATTTCGTCTCGGCGCGTAATCTGGTTAGGTTGAATAAGCCGCCATCAAGTCTGTAAAGTATTTCCACTCCTGACGGTAGGCGACCCTCGACAAGGTGTATGGATCCTATAAATAGAGAAAATATATTGGATGCATTAAGACAGCCCTGTTTAACGCCTGTAGTTATTTGAGAGGACTTTACATGCCCATCGTTGCTTAGGATGGTTGCATTTATATTATCATGCAGCAGGCGGGATATCTGGATGTACTTTTGCGGACACCCAACCTTTACCAATATCTTCCACAGAGCTTTTCTGTTGACCGAATCAAATGCTTTCACTGAATCTATGAAAGCCACGTGACAGCGATTTTATTCCCTGGATTTCTCTTGCATTTGACTTGCCCTAAAAATTATGTGAAATATACTTCGCTTGGGTCTTGAGCCACACTGTGTCTCTGGGAGGTTCTCTTTGGCAGGTGGGATTAAACGATTTTATGATATCCTGGCAAGTTTTTCCGCGACAGAAAGTAAATATATTCACATTGAGCCATGCCTCTCTTTTTAAAAACGGTAACTATCGAGGCATCTCTAAATTCGGCAGGTATGTTTGACTTAGGATTTGGGTTGGGGCAGTCAGTCTGAAACCTCAAGAATTCAGCAGGAGTGCTGTCAGTACTAGCCAGCTGATTTATTGTTTTTCAGTTGTCTGATTGCCTTTTTCTGACGTATGCATGAAGCAACTCTATCTGATTTTGTTTGCTCCGTGTTTTTCCTAAATCACGATAAGAAATAATGGACAGTTTTGCTTGATATTTTCACAAGATGTAAAGTACAACTTAATCAATTAATTTTTGAAGATAGTGTTTTCTCACAAGTGGTAGTTTTCGAGTAATTCGAGGGCAAGTGAAAGCAATAGTGAACAATGGGTAAAATATCTATATCAGAACAAATGTTCTAGAAAAGACGCCACTGCATCCTAGGCAACATGCTTACAAAGCGGACAGATCAACAGAAACCGCTCTATTTGAACTCACTGACAGCATCCAAAACACACTGCTGAATAAAGAAGTAGCCATCTGCGCCTTCTTAGACATAGAGGGGGCTTTCGACAACACCTCTCATGAATCAATAAAGAATGCGCTTGTCAGAAAAGGAGTGGCCAAAACCACATCCACCTGGATGTGTGAAACGTTAGCCACCAGAACTGCAGAAACGGATGTGGGGGAACAAACCATACAAGTCACCACAACGAGAGGATGTCCACAGGGAGGGGTACTCTCACCCTTGATGTGGAGTCTAGTAGTCGATGATCTACTAAATACACTGACAGACCAGGGCTTCAACTGCCTTGGTTACGCCGATGATATTGTCATCATAGCCAGAGGCAAACACGAAGGAATACTCTGTGACCTTATAGAAAAAGCACTCCGAACCACGAAGGAATGGTGTCAGACTGTGGGACTGAGGAACATTTGCCTCGATGGAAGCAGGCTTCACTGGAAACAAGAAGTTAAATTCCTAGGAATAACCCTAGACTCTAAATTCCTTTGGAACCGACACATAGAGAACATAACAAACAAAGCAATTTCGGCACTCATGGTATGCAAAAACATTGCGGGCAAAACGTGGGGTTGTAACCCATCGATCCTACGATGGATGTATACCATGATAGTGAGACCTATCATCACCTACGGAGCGGTAGCCTGGTACAGCCGAACCCAGCTAGTAACGGCTAGGAAAACCCTAGGAAAGGTACAAAGACTCGCATGTCTATGCATAACAGGAGCAATGAGAACATGCCCAACCGCGGCAATGGAAGTCATCCTAGACCTAACACCACTTCACACAATGGTGAAGCGGGTTGCCAGTGAATCATATCTAAGACTGGCGAAGATAAGTCTACAAGGGAAAACGCACTTTGGCAGAGCTTTCCCTCTCCCAAACTGTGTACACCTCATGGACTTACCAAAAGACGCGATATTTGATAAATTCAGTTTCGAGAAAAACTTTTCCATCGAACTAAGTACAAAGAACAGATGGAACATAGAATGTATCCAGTCCCTTAAAGCAAACACCATCAAATGGTTAACAGACG